TTTGAAGCAACTAGAGGTGTTGGCTTTTTACCCTGCAGCAAAGCAATGGGAAAATTACATTTCTTAAGAACCTGCTTGGTGCTGTTTTGGAATATTCAGTATTGTTTCTCCCACAAATCCTGAGCAGTACAGAAAGCAGTTAGAAACACTAAATGAGTCCATTTCTGTTTCATCACCTGGGGCCTAGGTTTTAAGCGGCCCGGCCTCCCTTGATGATTGGTGTGCAAGGAGAGCACAGGTGAGGCTTAGGCCTGGGTCAGAATCCAGCAGTGTCAGCCAGTTTGCATCTCTCTAGGTGGAAAACATTAGAAAATAATACTGACTTTGCTTACCCTTCTCTCCATGGGTCTCACCTACACATGGATATGCATGCACATACATGGTCTGTCTACTGGGCATATTCAGAGCAATAGTCCCACTTGGTAGCTATGGAGGGAGGGGATGTTGAGAGACCACAAAAATATGAATATAAATTAGGGGTCGGAATTCTTTGCCTTGGAGGGTTGTATTTCTGTGAACCCTGTCAGATGGATCAAACCAGGAAATCAACTCCACAGGAAGGCTAAAACTGCTTTGATTAGCTATAATAACAATCTTCCCAGTCTGATTGTACTAACTAGACCATCTGCTTGTATCTCAGTGAATTAGAGAGACGTTCGTTCATTCATTCAGTGAATTAGGTAATGATTCTTGAATATTTTCGATACATTCATATTCCTTGTTCTCTGATATTCTCTCGGAAGCCATTTTTGGGGGTCGCAACCATGGGGAAGAAACCTTCCCCATGGAAGCATCTGACAGATACTTGTTTTCTGAGTTTTACTCCAAAGGACATAGGCAAAAAATGTGAAAATAAATAAGGTAGGGAAGATCTGATACTACTTGCTGACAGATTTTTAGGTGAACTTTAGGCCAAAGACCATGATTGCTTGCTCCCTTTCTAATGTTTTCCCCTTCAATCTTAGCTCCTTGCTTTTAGACCCTTTCTCTGCACTACCAAAACTAAGGCCCTAAATCCTTGAGTTCAGGAACTGAATTTTTTTCCCCACCTCTCCCACTAACAAAATATCTCTTTTAATTCCCCCTCCCTTAACGAACCTGGAACTTGAGGTTTGCTGAAATTGTTGGCAGTTCTCTCCCCATTCCTTTTTTTTTAATTAAAAATATTTAAAATTTATCTCCTGCTTTCTGAGGCCCTCAAGGCCATGTACTAGTGATGCTCAAAACTAAACTTTTTGCATGGCCCTACAAATGTACATACTTACTGTTATCTAACAAAGGTGGGCAACTATGGCCTCTTTGGAACCTGTGGATTTTAGCTCCCAGAATTCCTGAGCATGGCTGGCTCAGGAATTCTGGGAGTTGAAGTCCACTGGTCATAAGGAGTCCGTGAGTCCGTAAGGAGAAGGGCGGGATATAAATTAAATTAATAAATAAATAAATAAATAAATAAATAAATAAAGGGGGCATAGTTGCCCACCCCGATCTACTAACCCTGCAAAGTAGGCTAGGCTTACCCAGCATTTAATGAGTTTCACGACTGGGTGGCAGTTGAGGATACTCCTCTCCCGTCTTAATTCAAGATTGTTAATTGCCGTTTTCCATAGGCTTAATTCAATTTCAATGGAAGGTGTTTTGAGCCTGGCACGTGCCCCTAGAAGTCATTTGCGTATCTTTGAAGCCACAAAGGAAGAAATAAATTGAAATGAGTTCTGGGTAGATTTGAATCTTGTTTGCCATATTTTGGAAATGAAAAGCCCGTTGTTTGTGCTCTCTTCTACAGCAAGTGTATTCCATTTTTAGTCTTTCCACCAGGTGGCGCTTATGGTCTAAGGAATGAAGAGGAAGTTTTATTATATTATTTGTCATTTTTAAGAGATGTCTTTGGTAATCTTTGAGCATACGCAAGATGGAGGAAGAGGCTGGTAGGAATGCTGGTCAGGTGTAACTTCAGAATGGAAAGGATTGGCTGTGCTTTTTCTCTCAACCTTGTTCTAACTGACCACAACAAGCTCCTTAGAACCATGTTTACTACACAGGCAGATTAGTGCGGATCAGTTCTTAACTTGCTTATGTTTAAAACTCATTGGAGGAAGATGGGACAAGCTTGTTTACATAATCCCTGCCTTACCTACAGAATCTTCCTTGTGTGAGGTCAACATAAAGCTTTGAAAGTACCCAAATTAGGTTAGCAAATGGCATAAACTCAGTGTCTTTAATAGCTTCAAGGGCAAAGGCAGAAGGAAAATAAAAGGGGCTGACTCCCCACTTGTTTAAAGTTTTACTTCATTCTAGATCCTTTAACTGGAAGAAACTTAAAAAAAACCCTGCCCAGATCTGAAATTCGTAACCACAAGAAGATAACCATGAGCTATGCTGGTTTGTTTACTCGAGTCAGAAGCATCACAATTAAAATAAGGAATACTATGTGATGTAAAATTTAAAATATTAAGCTGGTGAAAATAAGGTAAAATATCCTTAACTTCTTTAGATCTGGGAAAAAGCTTTGCCTGGTAAATTTTGGTGGCTTCTGATGCTGCTGTGATAGCTCAGACTCGTGTGTGATCCAGTGGGACCTGGGATAGTAATATTCTTGAGGGATCAAGGATATTCGAGTGTGACTGAACGACATTTAAAGCAAAGAGAGGCAGAGGTCTTGTGGGTTTTTGTAGATGAAGAATGGAAGCTATAATTCATTTGCCTTGATTTGGACTCACTCTGTAGCTCAGTTTAAAGCAGAAATGCTCCCAAGCTGGGTGAGCCTCCCCCCCCCCAATTAAAATGGGTTTTATGTTATCCAGATGCCTGCAGTTAGAACTGAAAAAAGTTGCATTAAGGTCCTTCCATGTTGGCCCATCCAATCTGTTTGTAATCAACACAAGCCCCCTGACTACCCTCCATAAGAGGTGACAGATCCTGACAGATTTTATCCCCTTGATGCTGTTCTTGGACAATGTGGGAAGAAGGGGTGTGTGTGGAAATAGTGTCTTAATACCAGGACAGCTAAGCAGAGTTGTCTCAGTCATGGGCTAGGGATGAGGGGAAGACAATGTCCTTGGGACACAGCAGAAAAAAAAGGTACTACTGGGTTATGTTTGTGCCATGGTGAGATTTAAAGTGGAGAAAGGCTCTAAATCAGGGGTATCCAATCCTGGCAACTTTATGACCTGTGAACTTCAACCCCCAGATGGCTGGCTGGGGAATTCTAGGAGTTGAAGACAACATGTCTTAAAGTTGCCAAGGTTGGTTACTACTGCTTCAAATCATATTTTTCCTTAATTGGCTGTTTTCCACATGTTTGGTACTAGGAGTCCTATGTCCTCAGCCAGCCCTTCTACAGAGGATGGGATGTGGTGCACGATAACTAGAGGGCACTCAGTTGAGGTAAGCTGTCCTAAGAAGCACATCATAAAATTTTATTGAGGAGCTTATGGAGTGGTTCTATAATAAAATAAGTTGCATTGTTCCCTAGAAGTGAGCTTGGTGCAGCACTGTTAAATATTCTGTGATACGCAGCCCACTGTTGAGATACCTTGCAGCTACCAAACACCCACTGTCAGTTGATTTGTGAATATTCTCCTTGGTGAATATTCCTTTCAGCCCAGCAGCCTTTATTGAAAAACACACATCGATTTTGAATGTGTCCTATTTTATTACATTAAACCCCTGCACCCAGCCCTGAAAAGTAACCAATTTCTTAAATAAACAAGAACTAATGCTAATGCGAGAAATGAAGGGAAGAAACAGAAATGCATAAATATCCCCAGGATGATGGGGATATCCAGGCCACCTGTTCTGCTAAATAAAGCTGGAGGGAAGATTGTCAATGCACGTTTTAAATGCACCGTTGGGAAGGAAGAAGAAAAGAAAGCAGGGAAGGTTGCCTATGCTGATAAATCCTTCACACGCAGAACTATCGATCAAAAGAAATATATCAGGAATTAGTAGAAGGTGAGTCCCATTGGTCTGAATGCTACTTACTTCTGAGTAAACATATTTTGCAACGTAGCTGTCAGCATCTTTTAAGGTGGGACCAGCAGCATTTAAGGGTGGATCTGGTTTTGCAGGTAGTTCCTGACTTAAAGAATACAATTGGGGCCAGAACTTCCATTGCTAAGTAAAATGATTGTTAAGGTAAGTCACGCTCGATTTTATGACCTTTTTTGCTACAGTTGTTAAGTGAGTCACTGCAATTACGCAGTCGTTCAGTGAATCTGGCTTCCCTCACTGACTTAGCAGCTGGGAAGGTCCTAAATGGTGATCACGTGATCTCGGGACACTGCAACTGTCATAAATACATGTCGGTTGCCAAGGGCCCAGATTTTGATCACGTGATCCTGGGGATGCTGTGATGGTTGTAAGTGCAAGGATCTGTCATAAGTCTGGGGTTTTTTTCAGTGCCATTGAAACTCTGAATGCTTGCTAAATGAAATGTTGTAAGTTGAGATTCTACCTCTATATGATTATTTCAACTGGCATTCTTTCCCTGTAAAAGATTTTAGAAATAACTGACAAGACACTACGAATCCTCCAATATGATGTGCCTTTATGCTCCTAGGTTTGCTGTTTGAAAAACGGGAGCCAAGGATTTCATTGGTAAGTGTGAGCTCCAAAATCATGAGAAATGAAGAATGGAGCACCAGTATGTAGCAAGTTAGCACCTGGGAGCTGTAGCTTATGAATGCTATTTACAGAAGGGAAGTGTTCCACTTGCTGTATTTGCATTTTAAAATAGGTTAGCAGATAGTGGTCTAATAGAAGAGAATATTTGTAGCTCACAGTTGAACTGTAGGATCTTTGGTGCTCTCTGAGGTTGATGGTTTTCTTGCAGACATTTCGTTACCAATCTAGGTAACATCATCAGTGATAGAAGGGAATGGGGTTTGCAAATCCCGCTCCCTTCTACCACTGATGATGTTACCTAGTTTGGTAACAAAATGTTTTCAAGAAAACCATCAACCTCAGAGAGCACCAAAGACCCACAGACGCTGGGCTTTTCAGGTGGTTTTTGGAATGAAGAGATCTTAATTCCACAGTTTATCATATTGCTATTTTCTTTCTTTCTACAAATAATACAACTCAGGATCACAAAAACTGCTTTCCATTGTTCATTGAAGAATTCTAGAAAACCACAAGATTAAATATGGGTTGACTGCTACTGCTAACAGAACAAGTAGTGGGACTTGGAGGGGGAAAAAGAACACTGTTTTGGAGTTGTATTTTGTCTTTCATATGATACACAAAACAGACACATAACTGAATTACCCCTGCCTGTTCATCACATGCCGCCTTTTTCACATCTCTTGTTTTTTTGCTTCCTGTCCAACTTGGGAGCCCCTATTTATTTTACTTGGGGGTGTACTGGATGAGGTGCATTATTTCTTCATTCTTCATCACTCCGTCAATAAACTCCCTTTCAGCAATTTTGTCTGTAAAACAAAACAAATGTGTACAATTAAATGAATATTTAGGTAGCATAAAATATAAAGAAGGGAGCAGGGCAGAGGACTAGAGGTGAAGACGCTCGCCTCCCATTTGGAAGGTTGAGAGTTCGATCCTAGGTAGCGGCAGATGTTTCTTCTCTCACCAAGAGAAAAAATTTGCTGTGAACTCTGCGTAGGTGGCAGGAAGGGCATCGGGCCAGTAAATGCTCAGCTCTACCCAGTCACCCTGACCCGACCCCGAATTAAAGGGACTACAGGGTCATAAAAAAGAAAAAAACCCCCAAAATATAAGGAAGGAATCAATGAGGGCTAATTGGTAACAAGTAGAAGTTAAGAGATACATAATATAAATTATTTAAATGTTTTTAGGCCCAGACCATTTCCTATTTTTTAAAATAGATTCTGAATATTAAATCAGTACAGAACAAGAGATAGCTAAATGTGCAACAGACAAGTTGAAGAGTTTTGACAACATCACTTGGAATGGATGTTACAGACATTCCTGTATTAATTGTGAACATTTGGAGATTATGAAACTATAATAGAGCTACTATATATGGGGGTGCAAATTTTTAGGCACCTACTAGATGGTAGCAAAGCATCTCTGTGCTGCCCTCTATGCTGCTATCTATTGGTCTTTCAGATTCCTACAGCCCAGATAATAATAATAATAATAATAATAATAATAATAATAATAATAATAATAATAATAATAATAATAATAATGTTGGAAGGGACCTTGGAGGTCATCGAGTCCAACCCCCTGCTCAGGCAGGAACCCTACACCATTTCAGACAAATGGCTGTCCAGTCTCTTCTTAAAAACTTCCAGTGTTGGAGCATTCACCGCTTCTGGAGGCAGATTGTTCCATTGGTTAATTGTTCTAACTGTCAAGAAGTTTCTCCTTAGTTCTAGGTTGCTTCTCTCCTTGATTAGTTTCCATCCGTTGCTTCTCGTCCTGCCTTCGGGCGCCTTGGAGAATAGCTTGACTCCCTCTTCTTTGTGGCAGCCCCTGAGATATTGGAACACTGCTATCATGTCCCCCCTCGTCCTTTTCTTCGTTAAACTAGACATACCCAATTCCAGCAACCGTTCCTTATATGTTTTAGCCTCCAGTCCCCTAATCATCTTTGTTTGCTGTCTTCCAAGAAAGTCTATGTAATCTTGGGAAAAGGTATAAAAATAGGTAAGCTTTCAGGATGGAGAACTCTACCCTCTTTTTCCATTCTGTATTATCAAATATTTAATGCAACTCAGAAGCAGGCCAAATCTTTCAAAAAATATTTATAGGACTAGCTTCAAAATGATAAATATTTTTGGAAAGAATCAGTAAGTATGGATTCAGTACAGATTAATTTGACTAAAATTATGCTAATTGGATTCAAACATTAGATCTAATTATAATGTGATTTCTTTGAGGTGGAGTAGTGAGTTGCATGAAACCACCTCTTCTAATTTGTTAACTATACTTTATTTATTTATTAAATTTATGTGTTTAACCAGTCAGCTCTGGTTTAACCATGGTTAAGAAACCAAGTGATTGTATATAATATGAAACTAATTCTTGACCATTCCTAATTTCGAGATTGGCCAGAATAGGCTTTTATTGTATAACCCTTGGAAAATTATGACAAGGTGAGTGAGTTGCAATCTGCCCTTTTTGATTTTGTAAGACAGAGAAGAATAATATCTTACTTTATGTATAGCTAAAACATTGTAGGGTGACATAGCAGATAAGATTATTAGCCTGGTGTGCCTTTGCCAAAATAGGATCCAAGCTGGAAAGGTAGATTAATATCTCTTTATTTATAGATAAGTGAAAAAGAGGTCTTCCACTGATATAAGGTGAGAGACCCCTTAAAGAGGGGGGAATCACTTTATCTACAATTCAAACATTGGGTTTGGGATGTGTTCTTCAATTGGCCAAAATCATTTTGAGTCATCAAACATCTAGAAAGCACGCTCAGTAACTTTATATGCAACGGTTCATATCATCCCATAATACTCTTAGCATGATCTTGTTAATGCCTAATTGCACATTCAGGAGGTGTGTTTGCCACATTATAATGAATTCAGGTTATTTGAGTTTAACCTCTTGCACAGACTTTGCTTTTGGCTAGCCTGAACCGGTTCTGATCAGAATCCACAATCCACATGGGAAATTTGCTTGCTACTAGAAACAATCAAAGGCACTGCTTGTTACCGAAAACAGGTATTCAAGGAGGCCACCTTCTCCTGCTCCCATCAAAAGTGCTGGATTATGAGAAGACACAGGTTCTAGTCTACCCTCAACCACTTAGTGGCTTTTGGCTGTCCCTCTCTCAGGTTGTAGAGGCAAAATAGTAAAAATTCTTCCTCCAAAGTAGGCTTTTATAGAACAGGTACACATTGTTTTATATGTAGGTCAATATATGTAAAGTTCTATAAATAGTAACAATAAGTGGTAGGGTTGGGCGATGAAAGGCAAATTTACCAGCATCTCCCTTGTCAAAATATGCCCACAGCTTGTCAGCCCGTTTCTGCGGGGTGTTTTCATCCTTAGGCAGGGCTTTCTGTTCTTCTGGAGGAATCATCTTAAATATTGCCTGGCAGGATAAACAGAAACAAAATTTATAGTCATTTTTTCTGTACAGCTAAGCTTCTTGATATTTTAAATCTTTGCAGAGAATACCTGGAGCCACTGATTCTCAGTAATGAATGGCCCTACCTGCCAGAGTTGTAGAAGAGCCAGGAGCCCTGCCCTCAGCATCTAATCTCCGGCTCCTGGTCCTCCATTGGCCCATATTCTCTAAACATCTATGGGCCCCATGGATGAGGTTTCTGAATGTACTCAGAGTGGTAGGTTTGCAAATACCTGCCTTATTTAGGAACTGTAAAGCTTGGGGAATCATCTAAATTTAAAAGGACAGGTAAATAGGAGAGGAAAGGAAGATAAAAGTAATGTGGAAAAAGGAGGAGAGATTGAGTGACTACAGAAAAATAACGGTTGAACAGTTTACAAACAGAAAAAGTGTAAGAAAGGATTTTTAAAATCACATTTATTCCCCTGTGTTCTTGTTTGCAGCCCAGACATAGCAAACTCAGGGAAGGAGGTGCTGGCTTTGTACCCCTGTGTCCTCAGTTTTGCATGTAGGAGTAAGAATTTCCCGGCTCCTGCAATGAGAATTTTTTCTTGCACATTTAGCATAATTACAGCACCTGATTGCTTAAAAGCTGATGTCTTTGAGTCAGGTGTAGCTTTTGATGACTTTGTTGGCATGACTTGTGGTTTCCAGTGGAAGTGGTTTGCCATTGCCTTATTCTGGTATGTTGAGTTCCCAGAATGGTTTTTCGAGTTCTTGATTGGTCACCCACTCAAAAAAATATCTAGAGGACACAAAGATAAACTAGTTTACAGCTGAGTTACAGAATCTGTGACTATGGAATTATTGGCCTAGGGTTCAAGGCAATACAGTCAACATCTGAAGATCTTTAGGTTCCTTGCCTTTCAGTTTAACTCTACTATATCTAATAGAGTTATTTAGTAGTGAAACCAGCTCCCTATGAGCAGAGTGATAGGAATTCTAGTAAATGTACCATATCTGGGCTGAAAAAATCCAGATGTTCACTTGATGGCAAATAGTCCAGATATCATATCCTTGAAGTTGAGGAGCATCATGGAGACTTAGTTGTGTATTTTGACTTATGGTGGTATCTTTTATATGTGTGGGACTGAAACTCTCACAATTCCCAGCCAGCAAAACTGCCAGTTCTACAATTACATTATGGGTATAAGTCTTGCCAATTATTTCTGTGCTGAAGAGCATGAAATATGGATTCTGTGTCCTGGAATGATGGTCTGGTACATTTGGAAGACAAGTGTGACATCTTCCAAACTGAATCTTAATGTTGAAAGAGGCTGATCAGTTAGGGCTGGTTCACTGAAACGTTTCTCTTGCAGCCAGTTACAAATATCTGATTCTTATATGATGAGGTAGTCATGATAGGCAGTTGTGGTTCTTAAAGTGTTGACTACATCTCCCATCATCATTCATCATTGTTCATCCTGGTAGAAGGTAGAATTCTAAAATATCTGAAGCCCCCCCCCATGTGTGATGCCCCTGATTTTTCTGCTGTTTATCCATAAGACAAGGTCAGTCAAAAGATGGAGTGTATCTGTTTAAGATCTTGGGTTTGTTGTCTCTTTGTTTGACTGGAAGGGCTGGGGGATGCTTAGCATGGGGTCCCTCTAATGGCTGACATCATAAAAACCTAAATGTTAATGGTTCATCTTGTGAGCTTTAATTGTGAGCCTTTTGTGGCTAATCAGAATTGGAACCAGAATTCCTGAAATGTCCATCTGACCACGCCAGTTCTGGGGAATTCTCAATTGTCCTATAAGCAAAAACAAGAGCTCAATAACATCCGATTATGAATTGGCTGCCCATCCGAGGTCACCCGAGTTCTTATCCAATCTTCTTTCAGTTTATCTCAGATTGAGCTTGTAAGCCCTTCTCTGACGGAGACTTAAAGATTCCCTGCATTCAATCTCCCTGCAAAATATTGCATCTTTTTAGAATTCCCATCTGCCGTTGCCAGCACAAAATCTGCTGGGCTGCTTACGTGTTTGCTCTCGTGTTTGTAAAGACTATTGAATCTAATCCTGTGCCTTTGATGAAGCAGCTTTACCGTACAAAAGATAAATAGGTTTTTCCACGTTTGCCCACAAGCACCCCCATAGTTCTTTCTCTCACTCTCTCTAATTTGTTCTGATAGAGTTGCTAAATTTAAAACTTTGTATTTGTCCTCCTTTTTATGCTTTGAATTACAGCTTGACACCTACAAATTAAGCAGATCAAGTTGTTTTCTTCACACATTTCTATGCCGTTAAGCCTTTTATTTCTGCTTATTAAATGCCTGCTGATAAAAGTGCAGGAGCAGAAACAATTAAGTCACAACTCGGCTCACCATTTGTAGAGAGTAAGGAAAATGACCTTGAGGGAGTTGATAGAATTGTGCCAGTTCTGTTGACAAGGGGCAAAACAGCTTTTAAATTCACAACAAACAATATTTTGAAGAGGTTCAGCCGGACACCTCCCTAATTAGCTGAACTATAAGTAGTAGTTGTTGTTAGTTGCGAAGTCGTGTCCGACCCATCGCGACCCCATGGACAACGTTCCTCCAGGCCTTCCTGTCCTCTACCATCTTCTGGAGTCCATTTAAGCTCACTCCTACTGCTTCAGTGACTCCATCCAGCCACCTCATTCTCTGTCGTCCCCTTCTTCTATTGCCTTCAATAAAACTTAGTCAGAATTATAAGATTCTCTTATTGTAGCCACTCTCAATAAAAGTCATTTTAGTCTTCTTGTGGACTTGATTTCATGATTTGGTCTACTTGTAAGGGATGACATCAATTTTCCCTCCAAAAACAGCCCTGTGAGGTGGGTTGGTTTGAGAAGAAAGCAGTTGGGCCAAAGACGCCTATCTGGTTTCCTTGCTTAAGGGAGAATAAGAGTTGCTAGTTTCTAGTTAAGCACCTTAATCATGGCACCATGCAAGTTTAATGCAGTGTTTCCCAACCTTGGAAACTTTAAAACATGTGGACTTCAACTCCCAGGATTTTCCAGCCTGGCTCTTTGAATGTCCTCATAGCTTGAAGTGTTCTAAATATGTACACAGAACCTGTATGTAGTGTGCCATAAACCTTTAAGACTTATAAACTTATTTGGGATAAACTACTAGAGCCTCTGTATAGAATGTATTCCTTTTAGCATCAAAGAGGCAAAACACTTCTAGTTAAGAGTGGTTATTTGCTTTGATTTTCTTTTCTTTTTAGAAGACTAATTGAGGATGTGTTAACAATTTCCACTGGTAGGTGACACCAATCAGTTCCTAATGAGATCCAAAATTCGTAAATCCTGCCTATGAAAAAGATGCCTAATTGATAAAAACTAGTTTTGTTGTGGTTTCATAATGTGAACTTTGGCTTTAGAAAATTGGGAATTTTTGAAGTGCAATATATACATGCACACCCCCTGCATATTAATAAACTAATGTACAGCATGAGGCTGATGTAATATGTCACATTAAAATTAAATAAAACTTGGATTCAACCAAGCAGGTGATAAATGTATAGAGTGTTAGAGATTGACTACTGCACAGCCTAATTTTTCATCTGTAAAATGGAGCAATACAGGCCTATCTTAAAAGCAGTATAGGTAACAGGGCTTGCCCATCATGGCCCTAAGTCAGTGGTGGCGAACCTATGGCACGAGTGCCAGAGGCGGCACTCGGAGCCCTCTCTGTGGGCACGCACGCCGTCGCCCCAGCCCCGCAGCCCTCTCCTCACCAGCAGCCCCCCTGGAGGAGAGTCACTCCCGGGTGCAGCCCGCGTGGAGCAGCGCAGCCAAGCACATGGAGCTGGGCAGCAGATGATGCTGCGGAGGGCGTGGACACCATGGCGCTGCAGGGCCATCTGGGCAATCTGCAGTGGGCCGTGGATGGCCCTGAGGGGGGCGGGCAGGGGTGGTTTTTGGGCACTCAGTCTCTAAAAGATTCGCCATCACTGCCCTAAGTCTTGATGTCATAAAACGGATCACCCACATCACTGACCTGATTTTATGACCTTTTTTGCTGGCAATCCTTAAGCAAACAGTGTGATCATTAAGTGAATGCCACACTCATTAAACAAACCAAAGGTTCGCTGTGGGCAGCTTTTGCTCAAAATGGAAGTAAATGCCAGTTTGGGGCTAAATATTCATAAAACATGGTCACATGATGGCTGGATGCTACACACAGCTGTAAATTGTATTTATAATTTTATTATTGTAAGCTGCCTAGAGTAGCCCACGGAGAAAAGGAGGCAAATAAATGTAATAAATAAATGCAAGTTGGTTGCCAAACACCCAAAGTGTGGACATGTGACTGTGGAGGAGGGGGTTCAGTTGTCGGAACTGCAGAACTGGGTCATAAATACCCCCAGGGAGGAGTGGTGGGATTCAAATATGTGAACAACCGGTTCTCTGTGTGGATGCTATTTCTGGAAGTCCATTCTGGGTCTAGGCAACAAAAAATTAGCTACTGCTTCTGTCAAACTGGTGCAAACCGGCTGAATCCCACCACTGCCAGGGAGGTTCGTGGTAACTTCAAACTGTCACTGACCAGTCATAAGTCATAACTACCTATATAGCATAAGAGAATATTTTGTTCTCAGTTATGATTTTCAGGCATTCTGAAGACTCCGAAGCAGAAAATACTGGACAGACGTGCCTCCAAAATTCAGAGCTTGTGGTCTATTATTGCTGTCCCAAACCTTTCATTCCAGATTTCCTGTACATTGTACGGCTAGTACCCTTTCCAACAATTCATTTCTACACAGCTATCTCTATCCAGCTATTTGTCTAGTTTAGTTTCAACAAAAAGCCAACTTGGGCTTGATATTTATTTTATTTATTGCACTTATATACCACCAGATGCAACAAAACCATGACATCTGATTGTTTATACTGTAAAAATATAAAAGCCAAAACCACCATCTCCCAGACAGTCTGCTTTGTCCCATTAAGCAGAGATGGGGAACAATGCCCCCATTTTTGACTTGTGTGCTTCAACTTCCAGAATTCCTGGGTCTGCTTCTGTTCCCGTTGTTTCTCCCCTCTATTAAAAATAATAGTAAAAATAATTAGGTCTTTGCCTGGATCTGAAAAACCAACATGGTCTATGTATTTTTCATGCCTTTATCTTAAGATCAGAGGAATGGACTCCTCTGGTTGAAATAACAAAATTGAAAGCACTTCACAAATGCTATACAGAGAGAATCCGAGCCTTAGGTTCACCTAATCCAATATTAATCTTTGATTGCTTTGTTCTTCTGTGGTTTGTGGTGCACAATTGGGAGGGAGCTCTAGAAGCTGGAAAAGTAGAATTAAAATGACTTTTTTTCTGTAAAAAATAAACCTTTTCTCTCAGAAAGGAGTGGGTAGAAGATGGTTGACACCCAAGAGAGAAAATTATGAGGGGATTTAAGACTATTTCTATTGTAAAAATTTAAATAAGCACAATCAGTTTCACCTCTCCGCATATGGGAAGGGCTAATCCATTTGGCTGCAGGAGACAAATATTAGCCTACACAATCCATTAATTGACCATCATCTAGAAGTGGATTGAGAAAGCCACACAACCATTAACTATTATTCCCTCTCGATTATTACAACTGTTTTTAGTTTGGCAAGTGACCCAGCCTCTCGTAAGAATGGCAGTTTGTATGGCTTGAGCTGGTCCAGGCAGTTAAATTGAACAGGACCACATACTTGAATGGCAAGAACTGGATTTTACAAGTTTCCATCTACTAAAGTAGGCTTATTCTAAAGGACGTAATTCAAGGGAAGTTGATGCAAGTTTCAGAGGGACCAGACAGTAACAAGAAGGAACTTTTTCCACAAGCTTTCCTCACCAAAACCATTGTGAACATCCACAGTTAATACTGTATTATTGTGCAAGAAGACATTTTAATCACAGATTGGGCAATGTCCAACCCTTAAGAGTTGTCCTGAAGTCCTCCCAACTCCCTGTCCCTTCCACACAGCACCACCTCCACTTCCCTGAATATTCTCAGCACTCACTGCAATTATCTCGAGAACTTCGTTCTTGCTGATCTCTCCGCTGCGGTCTACATCGAAAAGCGAGAAAGCCCATTCCAGCTTAAGGTCAGTTTTGCCCGTTGAGGTCAGATGCAATGCGATGATGTACTCCCGGAAATCAAGAGTCCCATCATCATTGGTGTCAAAGCTTCGGAAGACATGCCGAGCGTAGACCTTGGGGTCAGAGTTGGGGAAGAAATTGGCGTAGATCTTTTCAAAGTCAGCTTTACCAATGCGCCCATCGGGGCACTGTTTTTTGAAGGTGTCGTACCATTTGACCAGCTCGTCCTCTGAATACTTTGTGTTCATTTTCAGATCCTCAAGGATTTCCTTGGAGATCATCCCACTCTTCTTATTTCCCATTGTTTGGTTGGACGCTTACCTTCCTAACAACACTTCACCAAATGCTTCTAGAACTAGCCTGTTTTCTCTTATCTCCACTGAGCTAGTGGAAGGGCAGGTGACCAGAATACCTTCTTATATAGACTGCTTAGGATGGGCCTTTGAACCTGCTCCATGCCTCCCCTAATGGTCATGAATGCACAAACCCGGATATCACACATATAAAGGGAGAGACTATTTTGGTTGTGCTGATCACAGTTTCTCCAAGCTCTTTAACACAAAGGGAATCAGCTTTAGACATCACTGGCCTATCCGCCCTCTGCCCCCTCAATCCCTCTAGCCTTTTTTTTTTTTTTTTAAACAGCCAGCTCTATTTCAGATGGTGTCAGTACCAAAATACATACGGGTGCTGGAAGAAACAAAACTATGAATGGGGAAAGGTGGACAGACAGATGGACAGGCAATTTTTGTCACTGATGTGTTGGTCATTGAAAAGCTACTGAAGTATGTTTCAAATAGTTCTTTAGGATTTAATTCTAATAAGGAGAAGGAAGGAAGGAATTATACACCATGTTAAATTGTCTCCTGTCATCGTGCTTGACCCACATGATGCAGCATCCAAGTGTCTTAATTAAGATATATTCCCTTTCTACCTTTTCAAATTAAGTAATAGTTTTTCATCTAGAAAAATAGACATTGTTTTCAGGAAAGCAATGTTGTAAACTTAACAGTAACCACACAAAGGTATTTCAGCAGACATGATCTCAGTTATTGTATAAATGGCTACTCAAGGAATAAAAGAAAGCTTTATTGGGTTTTTTTTATGAATGTGTACCACATGTAATGTAACTACATACATGAACAGGGAGTCCTTGACTTATGGCTACAATTGGAACCACAATTTCCATTGATAAACAAGGTGGTTGTTAAGTGTATCACTGCAGTTATTAAGTGAATCATGCAGTCATTACACAAATCTGACTTCCCCAATTGGCTTTGTTTGTCAGAAGCTGGCTGGGAAGGTCACAAATGGCAATCACATGATCCCTGGAGGCTGCCTCCGTTGTAAATACATAATGGTTGCCAAGTACCTGAATTTTGATCTTGTGACCGTGGGGAATGCTATGATGGCCATAAGTGCGAGGACCAGTCATAAACCACTTTTTTCAGTGCCATTGTAACTTCAGATGGTCACTAAATGAATGGTTGCAAGTCAAGAATTACCTGTAGTACCCTATCCTGACAATCTTGTTAGTGCCTTTCCTGCCCCATCTCAATTTTTCCCCCAAACTGCATTTATTTATTTATTTGTATCCGTTCCTTATTGTTTTTATGAATACTCAAGGCAGCGAATATACCCAACATATCTTCCTCCTCCTATTTTCCCCAGAACAACAACCCTGTGAGGTGGGTTCGGCTGAGAAAGTGACTCACCCAAAGTCACCCAGCCATCTTGGATGGCTAAGGTGGGACTTGAACTCACATTCTCAAGCTTTCTAGTCTGGTGCCTTAATTGCTACGCAGGGGTAGGCAACCTTGGCTCTTTTATGACTCGTGGACGTCAACTTCCAGAATTCCTGAGCCAGCATGGCTCAGCTTGGAAACCTCTTCCTTTCCCCTCAACATGGCTGGCTCAGGAATTCTGGAAGTTGAAGTCCACGAGTCATAAAAGAGCCAAGATTGCCTACCCCTGCGCTACACCAAACTGGCTCTCATAATAATATTTTTCTTCACTGAGTACAAGGTCTTAGACAGAGAGGCCTCTTGGTAAAATCCTGTCTGTGACATAAGCTAACATAGCCCTCCAAGAGCAGTTAGGAATGTTTCTGTTCCTTTGTGAAGTTGGTTTCCTGAACCGTGGTTTAGATAGGTGTCTCTATTATGCGACAGTTTCAGAATTTTGGCCTGTTGGTCATCATAATTGTGGTTTCAAATCGGGGTCACAAGTCAAGAGCATCCATGATGGTGATGGGGGAAACAAAATAGTTAAAATGGCGACTGTGACGATGTGGTCAAGGCCTCACCTTTTTTTGCATGTGTTGCATATAAAAAAAGTGTCAAAGATTTGATCATGAATTTAAGAGTACCATATTGATTTTTTTATTTCCCCTCTGTTCCACTGTTGAAAGTTACAATAGCCCTGAAGAAAGTAGCTTATAACCGATCCTCACACTTCTGACTGGTGCAGTATCCCCACAGTCACATGATTACACTTCAGGCGCTTGGCAACCGGTATGTAGTTACAATGCTTGTAATGTTGCAGAGTTACATGATACCCATTTGCGACCTGCCCAGCCAGCTTCCAACAAGGAAACCCAATAGGGGAAGCCGGATTGGCTGAGGTGTCACATGATTCGGTTCACATCTGCAGTAATTTGCTTAACAACCATAGTTGAAAAAGGTCATAAAATCAGGTGCAATTCTCTTAACAACCACCTTGTTTAGCAATGGAAATTATGGTCCCAACTGTGGTCATAGGTCAAGGACTGCCTGTTCATGTACATAGTTATGAATTGAAGGTTCGCTGGGACTTAACAGGGGTCTCCAGATGTGGGGGGAGAGCCATTGTGGCTTCCACCATGTTAGGCGCCAGGTTGTAAGGTTTTCCACTTAGCCTCACAATTGCCCCAGTGTTACTCAGGAATTTAAAAGAGCCAAAGAAACTCCTGGCTGGTAGAGGAATGAAGGCAACAACCAGAAAAGATGTCTTCCACCTTTTATACCTTTCCAGAACAAAAAGATCAGGTCTTGGTACCAGGCATAAGATGGCACAAAAAAATAATTCTTAGATGATGACTCATACACAGCAAACCCAGGCTCCATCCGTAACTCCTTTTCCCCCTCCCCATACTGTGCTCTTTTCATATAAGCAATCACCTGTACCTAAAGCATGAAGCCCTTACTTTTCCAATATATATACTGTATATAAAGCATCTGATCAAGCAATTAACTACAAAATAAAGATTACAAAATAACAAAACAATGATTACATGATAACACTATAAGTATCAATATAAAATGGTTACTATATATAAAATAAATGCTAATGTCAAACTTAAACATACTAAAATCATAAGCACAATAAAATCCCTTCAGTTACATTACACGTGGCATACATTTGTCAAAAAACCCGACAGGGCTCTCTTTATTCCTTGAGTAGCCATGTAACAACCATGGCAAAAATGATATAAAATCAGGCATGTTCATAAGTGGAGAACTTTCTGTACATTAGTCTGCATTCATGGGGAAGAAGGGAGGTGTAAATGGAATAAAATCCGTTTAGGATTGGATCTCATTAGAATACAGGCAATAAATCTGAGAGGCTTAAAGATTCTCATGCTGGATCTAGAATGTTCTTCTCATTGCTTACACTCCTTCTAATATGTCTCTTCTGAAAACCTGTCAGCAACAGCTCTTGCCTTATTGTTCCTCTTATAACAGAGTAACAGAGTTAAAAGGGACCTTGGAAGTCTTCTAGTCCAACCCCCTGCCCCCATATCATTCTGGACAAATGGCTGTCCAGTCTCTTCTTAAAAACCTCCAGGGTTGGAGCATTCACAACTTCTGGAGGCAGGTTGTTCCACTGATTAATTATTCTAACTGTCAGGAAATTTCTCCTTAGTTCTAGGTTGCTTCTCTCTTTGATTAGTTTCCATCCATTCCTTCTTGTTGTGACTCAATGCTTTGGAGAATAGCTTGACTCCCTCTTCTTTGTGGCAACTCTTGAGATATTGGAACACTGCTATCATGTCACCCCTAGTCCTTCTTTCCGTTAAACTAGACATACCCAATTCCTGCAACCGTTCTTCATATGTTTTAGCCTCCAATCCCTTAAGTCCCCCTCTTGTAATGAAACCACAACTCACAATTCTCTGGCTCTTCAGCCTGGCCAAGAGACATCAAGGGATTCACTCCCAAACTTCCCATTTTAATGCCTCAGTTAAGACATTCTTTTTCATGCTGATGTGAGGTAGTATGGTGTAGTGCAGGGGTCTTCAAAGTTGACAACTTTAAGACTTATGGACTTCAACTCCCAGAATTCCTCAGCCAGTCATGCTGGCTAGGGAATTCTGGGAATTGAAGTCCACAAATCCTAAAGTTGTTAAGATTGGCGATCCCTGGTGTAGTGGGTAGGAAGAGGGTCTGGGAGACCTAGGTTCATAGCCCTAGAGGCTCATTCAAATGATATTGGGCCATTTAAATGCTCTCTCAGCAAAGCTGCCCCACAGGATAGTAGTTGTGAGAACTTTCCCAGAGGAGAGTGCTAGATGTAGGCTACCTTCAAACTTTCTGGAAGAAAAGCAGGAGAGAAGTTTTACACATAAATAAAACTTGACATACTCAAGAGGTTAATTGCTTTGGCCCACAGCTAATTTGGTTGTCCCTTGCTACCTTTGACCATATGTTCAATCCTCTTTGCCCTTCCAGATCTGTCAGTAAAGCAGTATTAATGTCACATGAAATCCATCAAGACTCAGTTGAGTATTTGTGTGTGTGCTTGTGTGCATGTACAATATAAGCAGTAGAGATAAACTTCCTTGGCATTGTGGAAGGAGAGGAAAAGACAGGAAGAAAAAGTTTCCAGTCCCTATTCCCCCCCCTCTCTCCCTCCCTCCCTCCCTCCCTCTTTCTTTCTTTCTTTCTTTCTTTCTTTCTTTCTTTCTTTCTTTCTTTCTTTCTTTCTTTCTTTCTTTCTTTCTTTCTTTCTTTTTTGCACTTTAGTGGCAGTGGATCCATCCAGCTAGATGGCTAATGTGTTCACTGAGTACTGTAGTTTAGGATGTCTTCAACAAACTAAATTGTTTCAACATACAGAAAATTCCTCAACTTACAACCATTCATTTAGTGTCTATTCAAAGTTAAAATGGCATCAAAGAAAGAAAATTACAGGTAGTCTTCAACTTATGACTACAGTTGAGCACCAAATTTTATTGCTAAGCAACACAGTTGTTAAGTGAGTTTTGCCCTATTTTACGACATTTCTTTCCATAAATGTTAAGTGAATTATTACAGTTATTAAG